TGGGCTGTTTTTTTTTTTCTTTTCTTTTTTTCAGGTAATAGGACAGAAACTGTACAGTTACTCTGCCTCTGAGCCAGAGAGAAGAAAGAAAAATGTGACATGAGTTTGGCCCCAACTGCTCCCACTGAGGGGCATGGTCATTTCTTGGCCCCAAAGTGTATCTGGTCATGTTCCGTCAGTGTCCTCTAGTGACGACTTTTTTGAAATAGAGAAGAGATACCCATGGACAGGGGTGAGGGTGGTAATGATGTTCGCAGGGTGGAGAGGGGTGGGAGCAGAATTCCCAGCAGAAAATCTGGGCTGACTGTGCTTGCTGCCACCAGCTCGCAGCAGGGCAGCACTCCTATGTGAATTCAGGTTAATTGCTGCTAAAATTATACTGGATTTCTTTCTCTTCTTTTTTTTCCACTCTTTATTGTCATAAGAAAAAAATCTAAGGAATTCTGCAATTAATTGCTTAATGAACAAAAATACAATCTGTCAAAAAGGAAGTCTTTGCCACTTGTCCTTGGCAGACCCTACGGCAGTGAGGTTTCTCCACTAGCAGACTCGGGCCTGCCCAGTTGCTGAGCCAGTATTTATGAGGGCAGGAGTACATGAGTGTATCTTTCCTCACTGCTGACACCAACGCGACCTGGTCGAGTCAAGAATTTGTTGCTCTCTTGAAGGCCTGGTGTCTCCTGTGAGGGGTAGGGCCCTGTGTGGGCTGAATTGTATTCCCTCGAAATTCATATGTTGAAGCTCTCACCTCCAGTAGGTCAGCATGTGACTGTATCTGGAGATAGGGCTTTTAAAAAGGTAGTTAAGGTTATTTAATCATAAATAATCTTAGGCCTTTAAGGTGAGCCCTAATCAATACAAGATTTGTGTACTTATAAGAAGAGGAAATTAGGACACAGACACACACGGAGGGAAGACCACAGGAAGACACAGGGAGAAGGTGGCCATCTACAAGCCAGAAAGAGGCTTCAATAGAAACCAACCCTGCCGATAACTTGACCTTGGACTTCTAGCCTCCAAAATTGCGAAGAAATAAATTTCCATTGTTTTCTGCCACCCAGTCTGTGGTCCTTCACCCTGGCAGTCCTAGCAAACTTACAAGCCCCAAACATTCATTCCTACTAAATAACAGCGCTGCTCTTCTCTCCTCCTCATTCGGCAAGCCAATGTGAACGGGCTTCTGCTAGGATCACTCTCTATCTGGAACCCATCCCTTAAACTGGGGGTTGGCAAACTTTTTCTGTGAAGGGCAAGATAGTAAGTGTTCTGGGCTTTGAATGCCAAGAGGCAAAAGAAAGAATATTATGTAGTTGCTTATATGACCATTTAAAATGTAACCACTTATACTTGTACACCAATATTCATAGCAGCATTATTTACAACAGCCAAAAGGTGAAACCAACCCAAGTGCCCATCAACAGACAAATGGATAAACGAAATATAGTATATACATACAATCGAATATTATTCAGCCTTAAAGAGGAAGGACATTCTGACACATGCTACAACATGGATAAACCTTGAAAATACTATGCTAAGTAGAATAAGTCAGACACAAAAAGAAGAATATTGTGTGATTCTACTCAGATGAGGTACCTAAAATAGGCAAATTCATAGAGACAGAAAGCAGAACAGTGGTTACTAGGGACTAGAGCCAGAGAGGGATGCGGAGTTGTTTAATGGGTGCAGTTTCTGTTGGGATGATGAAAAAGTTCTGGAAAAGGATAGTGGTAATTCTTGCACAGCATTGTGAATGTACTTAATACTTAATGTACTTACGTGAATTGTACACATGAAAATAGTTAAAATGGTAAATTTTATATTGTGTATAATTTACCATCACAACAAAAAAAGGCTATTCTCTTCCCAAATGCAACCATTTAGAAATATTAGATACAAGGCTGGGGGAGTAGGTGGGTAGGAGGGGAGGTAGACTGGCCCACAGACCATAGTGTGCCAACTCCTGCCCTAAACTCTTTGGGTAGGGTCCCACCTCTATCCCCTATTCCTTTAACAATAAGCAAGACATCTGCTCTAAACAGACAGATCACCTGTAACTGTCAACATCTGGACGGTTCCCCAGTGCCAGGCACTCTGGGTCCCTATTTTGTCTCTTTCTCCATCAGCCTGTGCTGCTGACATCTCTGCATGCTTTGGGGCCTAATCCACTGCGGCTACAGATGGAGATGTTTGAAGGCCTTGCTTGGGGAATGAGTTCTCCATGGAGGATACGAACAAATTAAGGAATATGATTCTGGTTTGATTGTAACAGGACCACACCTAATACCTGAAATAAGGAAACACAGCTGGCTGTGGAATTGCTTGCCATGGTAAGGGAGAGCTGTGCTGAGCTAGGCTCGGTCTCTCTGGGCAGCGTGCAGTGTTGACTTCTGTAAGGTTTGGGGAGCACGGAGCTCAGGGATGGGAGGCTTTCAGAGGACTAAGTGGTTAACATCTGTAGAAGTGTGGCTGCTGCCTGAGCCATTGTTGATTGCTTGGCACTCGGAGGCGTGTTTATTAAAGTGAGTCAATCTCTGATTGGCTGATTTTCACAAGCTAGGAGTTGAACTGATTGGTTAGCTTGTAAAAGCAAGTTCACTGGGGCAAGCTGTCACTGATTGATTGAATGGATGCAAAACCATTCTGGTGGCTACTTGTTGCCATGGCTACAGAGCAATCAGTTTTTTCCTAAGTTTGTGGGAACTTTTAAAATTCTCACATGTGTAGCTCTCTCTCCAGCCATTAAAAATTTTGTCCTCCATTAAATGTCTTATCCTCCACAGCAAAGACTGCCATTGCCTACCTAATATCCACTCCCCTACTAAGAGAACCCTGTTTTTGTTAAGGGTAGCAAGGTTCCTAGACAACCTTGCATATCGGGTTGACCATGTGACACAGTCCTAATCAATGAGATGTGAGCAGAATTACTAGGTGCTGCTTCTGGGAAAGCTCCTTCAGGGGGCTACAGAGTCAGTGGGTACGCCCCTTTTCATTTTCCTGCCTGGAAGCGGGTCACAAAGTCGGGGAGCAGGAGCCATCTTGGATCCATGGGAATGAAAGCTGTACCCTAATGATGGCAGATAGAGAGAGAGAAAGAGACCCTGGATATGGTGGCGCTATCATATCAGCTCTGGATTGCTTGTCTCCCAATTCGCAGCTGTGCAAGAAAAATCAAACCTCTATTTGGTTCAGCTATCGTGAGCTGAGTTTTCTTTATATGAAGCCAAACTTATTCCCAGTTGATAAGCCTGTGCTTCTGTTTTCCTTATCTCTTCACCTCACAATCATATCAGTGGCTCCCATTGTGTCCTCATTGCATAGCAGAGTGCTCAGCATACCACACGACACAGTCAATATATATATTTGTTGACTGTGCAATTCCCTGATGAGGTTTTATGTGCCTTCTAATATGAGACAATAAGAAGTACAAAACATCATCTACAAAATAATCTTGCCCAAAGTATTTAACCTGAATCCCATCATGAAGAAACTATTAGACAAATTCCACAGGGGAGACAATCTAAAACAAGTCACCTGGACTCTTTCAAAAAGTTCCATGTGACAAGAAAATAACCAAGAAAGTGAGAGGGGGAATTAGTCTAGATTAAAAGAGACTAAACAAAAAGAACAACCAAATGCAATGCACAAACCTCAACTGAGTCTTGGATCGAACAACAAAAGACATGTGCATCACCCAGTATACCTGCCAGAGACTCTCCAGGCAACTACGGTGGCCTGTGTGGTAGGGAAAAGGCACTTCGCGAGGGATGGATTCTCTATGCAGAATCCCACGCAGACTACTCAGATCCAGAGACAAACTTGGGGAGTTGTTTACTCCAAAAAACACTTCGTATGGCTGGGAGATAGAAATCCAGGAGCTTCTTTGCGGTTCCAGTACAACCAGAGAGGCTTAGGAAAACTCTTAAAGCTATCAGAGATGCTCCTGCAGGGAGTGGCGGGCCGTTGTAACCAACACACAACAATCCTGCCACCAGCCTCAGAAGCCAAGAGGGATGCTCTCGGCAGGTGGGTCTGGGGAGCCTCACGAAGCAGGCAGCAAAACTCAGCCACTGCTGTCATTTGTCACAACACAGGCAGTATGGTGCTGGGGCTGAATGGAGGGAGCGTGCTGCAGAAGTCGAGACTGACAGAAGTGTAAAATAACAACTGTGAAATGACTTATTGAGTGGGAGAGAAGCTGGGCTCCCACCTGAGCAGTGTGTCAGTAAGACAACGCAAGACTAGGGTATCCACTAGGGGGCGGTAGAGGACAGTGGTTAAGGACACAGGCTCTGGGTCAGAGCCGGTTCAGTCCTGGCTTCTCCACTTAGGAGTTAGGTGAGCTAAGGCTAGTCACAACCTCTCTGAGCTTCAGTCTTCTCATCTGTAATATGGGGATGAGAACAGTGTGTACAACAAAGGTTTGTTGTGGATAATGCATGTGCCTGGCATATTGTAGATACTCGATTAATATTAGCAGTTCTTATCATCCACTGAAATAACATATTATTCACAGGAGAACTAGAGGGGAAGGCTGCCCCTGCACATATACATCTGGGGGTGGGTGTGCAGCAGAGCAAACAAGGACACAAGCACACTGGAATTTACGAAGCAAAGCCTGGAAAATGCTGCTCATGAAGGCGAGTAGAGGAATGAATCACTGTGGGGAGATGGAGACCCGTGACACATTGGGCTAGGGGCCACCCACCCATGTCCTCCAACTGTAACCTTTGTTTAGTTCCTTTTAAAAGAAAGATTTAATTGTGGTAAAATACACATCATATAAAATTCACCGGCTTGACTATTTTAAGTATATTCAGTGGCATTAAGTACATTCACATTGTTGTGCAACCAGCATGACTTTCCACCTCCAGAACATTTTTCTTCTTGCAAAACTGAAACTCTGTACCCCTTAAACAATAACTCCCCATTCTGCTCCCCTCAGCCCTTGGCAACTACCCTTGTACTTTCCGTCTCTATGAATTTGACTATCTAGATACCTCAAATAAGTGGAATCAAACAGCATTTGTCTGTTTGTGAGTGGCTTAAATAATGTCCTCAAGGTTCATCCATGTTGTAGCATGTGTCAGAATCTCCTTCCTTTTAAAGTCTGAACAATATCCCATTGTGTGCAGATGCTACATTCTGTTTGTTTATCCATTCATTCGTAGATGGACCCTTGTAACCCTTGCTTAGTTCCTTTTGAACCAGATGGTTCATCAGGAATTTTCTGGAGGTTAAGCAACCAAGGGAACCAGTGGCTGACCCTGGAATGAGAAGAAACATCCAATATGACAACGGCCAAGGAGAACAAGAAATGATCTGCAGACAAAGGAGGGAAGAAATTCAGCCAGTATACAGACTCACCTGTATATACAGTTCCTAAATGTCACTCAGACAGTTGAAGGGTGGCTTCCACATGACAGTTATTGCCTCTGGGTTCCAAACCCATGCTTCTCTACTTGGCTTCGTGACGCTAGGCTGAGACCCTGCAAACCACACACTGGGCTCCACCAAGTAGGGGTGCTACAGGAAGGCTGCAAGCCTGGAGGAAGAAGGAGGGACTTGCGACCTCTTTGTGGTTCCTCTGAGCAACACCCCAGCAACCCCTGTTCACCTGGGGTGGGGCACATGCCTTCCTGTAGCAGCAGCGGAATGTGCCTTCCAGTTGTTCCAGCACTTGCAGAGACAGTTGTATTGTTCCAGACTGTCTCCAGCCCGCAGGTCCTGTGGGACAACTCCTTCAAATTGCAAGATTTTCATAGAAGTGGTAGCTGCCTCCTCTCTGATATCTCTTTTAACTTTAACGTCTTTAACAGTTCTTTACATTTAGTTCTCTCTTTTCAAATCATGGCTGTGGTTTTTGTCTCTTGCCTGGATTCTAACTGATGCACCCCCAACTGCTATCTCGAAACTTTAATGCCCCCACAGGCCCCGAGGTCAGCCCCAGACCCCTCATTCTAGAAAGGATGACCTGGCCTCCTGTTTCATCCAGAAAAGTAAAGCCATTATAGGGGACCTCGAACTTGCCCCTCCCTCTCCAATCTACAAAAATCTCTATAGCCAATCTCCTTTTCTTCAGTCTCAGAGGATAAAGAACTTTCTTCCTATTTAACTCCGGATTTTCCATAGGTGCTTTTCAGCTCAACCCTTTCCCATGTCCCCTGGGACCCCGCTTGGTCCCTGATGTCCTCTCCCAATTCTTAACCTGCTTTTTTCTAAAGCATCTGGGGAGCCGACTAAGGACAGGAAAAAGGATTGGTAGGCACTTCTTTTCCTCTCTCTTGTTAACCACATCCATATTTCCCTCGTAGCATGTCCACCCCCAAGTCTGACTTTTCGGACAAACTCTGCATTCTCAGCATTCCTCACCGTGCCTGGCAGGGAGGTGACACTCCGTGTTTGCCCAGTGGCTAAGGCAGAGGAGTCACCCTTTACCTGTTTGCTGAAGGAATCAATGAGCCGGAGGGCTTCTGTAGTCAGCAGAGTTCACGGCACGTTCCACAGCTGCATTTCTCACCTGTACCAGAATCACTTGGGGAGCTTGTTAAAATTGCTGACTCAAAACCCATATTGATGGGGGCATGTCAAAGGGACACAGCAGCCGACTGAAAGAGCTCCCAGGGGCCAAAGTTGGGACAATTTAAGCAACAAAACAAATAAAGTAGTGTTGATTTATACTCAAAGTATAAAATAAATATCCATGAGTCCATACTGATATAAATAAAAGGTTGAATAAATAAATGGGGGAGAAGAGACAAATTTCCTGTGTAGAAGAATTCCAAATAATTTATATAGCTACTCTGTCCTCAAAGAGGTGGGGCATTACTCCCTCCACAAGTGTGGGCTGCACATAGTGACTTCCTTTCAAAGAGGACAGTATGAAAAGGGGGAGGGGGCGATTTTACAGCAGAGAAACCTGACTAGCACCACCTCAGCCAGGTGATCAAGGTCAACATATATGGAAATGGCATTTTGCCTCCGTGGTCCTCCTACCAACAACCCATAACTCCAATCTTATCATGAGACAAACGTTAGCCAAGTTCCAATAGAAGGATCCCTGGCAAACCACCTGACCAGTCCTCCTCAAAACTGTCAAGGTCATTGGAAACAATGAACGTCTGACAAACTGTCACCACTAAGAAGACCCTAAAGAGACATAACCAAATGTACTGTGGCACCCTGGATGGGATCCCAGGACAGAGAAAGGACAGAAGGTAAAAACGAAGGAAAGCTGAACAAAGCATGGGCTTTAGTTCACAGTCATGGACCAATATTGGTTTACTAGTTGTGACAAATATACCACCATAACGTAAGCTGTTAAGAACAGAAGAAACTGGGTGTAGGGTTTACAGGAAGTCTTTGTACAAGTTTCTCAATTTGTCTGTAAATCTAAAGCTTTTCTAAAAAGTAAAGGCTATTTAAAATGTTTGGGTTTTTTTAAAAAAAAAAATGCAAATTCCTGGGCCTCCTCTCCGAATCTCAGAACACAAGCCTCAGGACTCTGCATTTTAAGCAAGCATCTCAGTGGGTTGGTGTACCCTAAAGCCTGAAAAACAGTGTCTTAGAGACTCCCTGCTCAGAATAGAGACTCCTTGCTTGCAGTGGTTTGAATCCACACCACGGTGTTGCACAACTCCAGGGTCGCCATTGATATTGTGGTCAATTTACAGTGGTAACGGCCCCCGCGTAGTTGCGGAGTGGACACTGTGCACATTCGTCGGCTGCACAGCTTCCTGGGGCACTATTTTGATTCGTCTCCATATAACAACATGAGCCAACATCGAGCAATTGGGAAATTCTTCATTAAAGTCCAGAGCTCTGGGCTGCACTTCTCCATGCCTGGTTCCCTCCTGGCCTTCCTGCAGTGAGCTTAGGAGTGGCTCACTCCTCAGACAGGATGCATACTGAGCAGTTCAACAGTCTCTACCCCTTCCTATTGTTCCTAACACTTTAGGGCTGTTGTTGTCATGCCTGTATTGTTGGCTTTTTATAGAAAAAAAGCAAAAAGCAGTCCTGTGTATCTGGGTCACTATCAAAAGTGGGGAGATGAAAGATAAATCAAGTCAGTCTGTGGCTTTTTGTTTGTTTGTTTGTTTTGTTTTTTGAGGAAGATTAGCCTTGAGCTAACTACTGCCAATCCTCCTCTTTTCACTGAAGAAGACTGGCCCTGAGCTAACATCCGTGCCCATCTTCCTCTACTTTATATGTGGGACGCCTACCACAGCATGGCTTGCCAAGCGGTGCCATGTCCACACCCAGGATCAGAACTAGCAAACCCTGGGCTGCTGAGAAGCGGAACATGTGCACTTAACCACTGCGCCACCAGGCTGGCCCCAGTCTGTGGTTTTAAAACCTGGGAGAGAGTACCCTTTTTTGTGTAAGTGGGAAATATTACCATGCGATTAATGTGCAAGCTGCGTGTGTCTGTCGATGGCTTATGCCCAGCCTGTTTCCCTCAGTGATGGCGCCTGCGGACATATGAGGCCCCAGTTGGACCTCAGGCCAGAGAGAGATGCTGCAGTGATAAACAGACCAAAGGTGGATCCTGGAGGAAGAAGGAGGAGGGAGAATGAATCTTCCCTCCCCTCTGTTTCAACACGCCCTGAACCCCGCGGAGAGGCAGCTCGACCCCCCTCCCAGAATCCGGATCTGGCAGAGCTCAGCCAGAATCTGCATGTCCAGGTCCTTCGTTAAATGGCATGATCACACTGTTCCGGTTCTTGATTTCTAATTACTACTTTGGGAACAAACTGTCTCGTGAGTGTTCTGGCACAAATAGACAGACTGGATTTGAGAACTGTTAGCCTCCTTGCTGAAGTTCAGAGTTTAGTTACGAAAATGATAGTAACAATAATAGCAAGAACTTACTACTGGCAGGACCTGTTCTACGTGTGTTTTTAAAAAAATATATTAATTTATTTAATGCTCAGAAGACCCCTGGATGCAGGTATTATTATTATTACCATCATTCTCTGTTTACAGAGGAGGAAATGAGGTGGGGAGAATGAAGTAGACCTACCAGGGGTCTGTTGACACTAGTTGAGAACAGAGCTGGGATGTGAGGCCAGGCTCCAGGCTCTGGACACTTCACCGCTACACTCTACTACCCTGGCTCTCCCCAGAAGGGGAGCAGACTCCTAAGGTTGTTCAACTCTTACAATATATCGAGGTGCCATAAAAAACACTGAAGACATAATTACTTATTTATACTTTATGTAAATAACACATCTGTGCTCATATTTTAAGATGATAAAGAACATACAATGTATGATAACAGTATACAAATCATTTCTTTTAAATAGAATTGCTGATAACATGCCCTGACCTTTTCATATTTGGCATGCTGGACTGTTTGCTGCAATTTATATAAACTGCTGGGGGAAAAAAGTTGTTCTGCTGTGAATTTGCTTTGAACAGTTTTTTAAATGATACCTTTTATCTTAAAAATTCAGTTGAATTGTTTTCCTTATCAATCCAACTCTATGTTTTATTAGCAGATTGTGTTCCTTTCCATTAGGAAGTTTGGAGTAAAAGATTAGACTTTGTCAGTTAACATCACAAATGGATCATGATCAATGATATTTAATGCCTCTATTTTATGTGTAGAGTCTTGTAGGGGAGGAAGAGAATTTCTCTACCCATTCTAGGTCCTTCTGGTTGGTTTATGAATTAAATTGACATGAGACAGAATAACAGGAGAAAATCAAACAAAGCTTTATAACATGTATACATGGAGAAATCCAGAAAAACTGGGTAACTCGCCAAAATGGCTGAGGCTGCCAGCTTAAATACCATCTTCAGCTAAAGACAAAGGAGGATGGAGGCTGGCCCAGTGGTGCAGCGGTTAACTTCGCATGTTCACTTCGGTGGCCCAGGGTTTGCCAGTTTGGATCCCAGCTGCAGACCCATGCACTGCTTGTCAAGCCATGCTGTGGCAGGTGTCCCACATTAAGTGGAGGAAGATGGGCACGGATGTTAGCTCAGAGCCAGTCTTCCTCAGCAAAAAAAAAGAGGAGGATTGGTGGCAGATGTTAGATCAGGGCTAATCTTCCTTAAAAAAAAAAGACAAAGGAGGCCATTGGGATTGGTGGTTTGGAGCTTCAAAGGGGAGGCAGGCAATTCACATGAAAATGGAAAAGCAAATGTTTGATAGATAAGAATGGTCTTAGCAAGGACCCTCACAGACTACCAATATCCAGAGTTATCTATGGTGATGGTCTGTCTTGGGGACAGGCCTTTTATCTTAAATTCTTTTAGGCAGTTAGTGGGAAGGTCAAACTTTCTTTTAGAGTCTCTCGTTCTTAAAAATAATCAAGCCATCTTAAAAACAATTGAGCCAAAGAGACACATTTTGAGGTGGCTAATTCTGATCCCCCACAGTTTCATACACCATTTAAACTCCACAGTCTAGGAATAATATGGAAACGTGGAGACAACTCAAAAAAAAGAATAAAAATGATCAAAGGGTTGAAAAGTTACAGAAATATTTAGTCTGGAGAAGAGAGGGCTGAAGGTGTTTGAAAAACTGACTTCAAAGATGAATAATGGATCAGGAGGATATCGAACAGATGTTCTAGTCTCCTAGTGGCTGGTGGAGCAGGTTTGGTTAAGGATGTTACACAGAGCAACTGCAAGGGACTAAAATTGGGGCATCAGCACCAGAGATCAGGGACATAACCAACTATGGGCATGTTTTGGTTGGAAGAATGATAGGAGCACAAAGGCAGTAGTTTATGAAAGGATATTCAACTAGATGGACATATGGTCATACAGACTATCAAGGTCAGTGTCAGGATGCCACCACTCCTGTGGGTGTGTCTTCCTCTTTGGAGTGTGGCTGCTTCATGCAGGGTCCACCTGAGTCCCACTCTGTCTTCCAGGCATGTTTGCACAAGGTAAACCTCCTTGGCCTGGACCTGAGGACAGACCGCTATCAGCTAGTTCAGAAAAGCCATGTCATTATTCTTTCATATCTTTTTGGCCATTGCTGGGGTAGTCATTGTTGAATAATTCCCTTATAAATAAATACTCCAGTCCCAGCAGGCATAAAGACATAAATAATTGCCAAATCAGAATAATAATCTCACTTTAACATTTTAACCAACCCCAGTTTCTATACACATGTAATATCATTGAAATGATATGAAGCAGAATGTTAAATCCCCTTGTTTATGCAGTTCTACCAGTAGACGTTCTGAACCTCTCCTGGAACATAATTTATCTTGCAGTAGGTTTGGAAATCCCTTGTTCATACCTGGGATGGGGTGTGGAGGGATGGAGGGGAGGGAGGGAGGGACATGGTGTCGTCTTGAAATGTACCTGGGATTTGTTTAATCAGGTACAGTACAGTGACAGACATGGAGACAGCTGCCTTGGATGAAACGTTTATTACTTACAGTTCCCAAGAGGAGCGAGCACAGCATACCATATAGGGCCACGTGGAGAAGTACCAGGGTCAGTCAGCAAGCAGAAGAAACCAGGGGAGGGCACGGCCCAGAGCCTTTATCACGATTTCTGTAGGGAGAAATGGGCAAGGAAGGTGGGCAAATTTGAGCAAGTTTAGGATTGGATAGTTTGAATAATTTTGGTGTGCTCTGAGCTGTAAGGGTGGTCTCCAGCTGCCTGGGAGCTGGCCCTGGGGTGACTAAGGGCAGGGGAACATTGGCTTGGTGTATGAGAGTTAGATAAAGGAGGCATTTAGGGGGATGGGCTTTGGATTGGTGGTTTGCTATGAAAGACAGCCTCCCAGACAAGTTGTTTACTATCTCTAGGAATTAGCTAGCCCTGAGAGGGGCGTCTCTCCCAGCCCCAGGATGTTAAAGCATTGTAAAGTACAGAAAATAAACAACATGACTAATACAGGGGTCCAGTGACCCAGAACCAGATCTGAGTGACCTCTGTGAAAGACAATTCTAGTCAGGGAGGCTGCACATACAATCAGGGTGCGGGGGTACAACTGGCAACGGGGTGCCTGTCAGAGCACATGGTGACAGGACTGTCCACTGATCGTAGAGCATGAGGGCAGCCACAAGGATACTCTATTTGGAAAGCCAAGCAGACAGGGACCATCTTTCAGCAAAGGAGCTGATGAGTCCAGCATTCCCAGGCAGGTTGTTGGTCCTCGGAAGGGAGTGAGATGGTGTGTTAGTCAGAGTTCTTCAGAGAAACAAAATCAGTAGGATGTATAACTATATATCTATTTACATCTATATGTTACTCTCTTTCTCCATCTGTATCTATATCATCTATATCTATCCATCTATCTATCTATCTATCTATATCTGGAGAAAGGGAGAGAGAGAGAGAAAGAGAAAGATCTATTTTAAAGAATTGACTTATGTGATTGCGGGGTCTGGCAAGTCTGAAGTCTGCAGGGTAGACCAGCAGTCTGGAGACTCAGGGAAGAGTTGATGTTGCAGTTCAAGTCTGAAGGCAGTCTGAAGGCAGTCTGCTGGCAGAATGCTCTCTTCATCAAAGGAGGTCAGTTTTTTCCTTAGGACCTTCAACTGATTGGACGAGCTCCCCCCAACCCCCATAATGGAGGGTTGTCTTGGTCTGCTCGGGCTACGGTAACAAAAATACCATAGACTGGGGGGCTTAAACAACAGAAACGTATTCCTCACAGTTGTGGTGGCTGGGAAGTCCAAGATCAAGGCACCAGCCAATCTGATTCCTGAGGAGTGCCCTCTTGATTTGCAGACTGACACCTTCTTGCTGTATCCTCAAGTGGCAGAGAGAGAGAGCATTTCTCTCATGTCTCTTCTTATAGGGACACTAATCGCATTTATGAGGGCTCTACCCTCACGACCTAATTACCTCCCAGTGTCCACCTCCAATCCCCATCACGTTGGGGATTAGCCTTCAACATATGAACTTGGCAGGGGCCACAAACATTTAGCCTATAGCAAGGGTAACCTCCTTCACTCTAAATCTGCTGATTTAAATGTTAATCTCATCTAAAAAACACCTTCACAGTCACATGCAAATGTGTTTGACCAAATGTTTGGGTATCGTGGCCTAGCCAAGTTGACACACAAAACTCACCGTCACAGATGGGGTCAGTGAAGTATAACCCTAAGAGTAAGAAGTCTGGGAGCACGGAGCATGCACAACTCACTCACTGGGGCATGAGGCAGACAGGGGATCTCTGTAAAAGCTGAAGCCCACCCAACTGTAGAACTAGGA